TGACTATTATTTTAAAATCACGATATGGTGTTGGATATTAATTTATCTGCCTACCTTTCTAAATACTCCCGCTGCCTATGTGGTTGCTCACAAAGGGCAGCGTTTACCAACTTTGTATTTATTTTTCCACAGCACTAAGTTTGCAATGACGAGGCCCCCCGGGACTAAAATACAAAATGTATTTATTTATTCATTTAAACAGTAACCACAATGCCCGTCGTAGGTGGTGCCAAACGGAGAAGAGTTCTCACCATTTGTTACTTTTGCTGGAAAAGAGGAGGGGACGAAGATCGACCCTGCTGAGGATGATGTAAACATCTTTAGAAACCAGTTTACTATCATGCGAAAGTCTAAAATAGCAAGAGGAAGCTTTTACAAGTCCAACAGTTGGGTGCTCGGGAAAGAAACCGACGTTAAGGACTGTATATCTTCCAAATTTAAATGTTGAAGTAATTCGCCTTTCAACCCGATAATATAGATTACAACCTAGTTTCGATAGACGATTATTCCGGATGAAAGCATATTTGGAAACATGAAAAAGAGAACGGTGAGCTGTGGAGCTAAAGAGTGGTGAAATGATCATGGTGGAATTTCGAGTGGCGTAAGGTCGATCTGCCGAAGTGAGAGCGTTAATTCATGGGAGATTAGGACTATTGTTAACGCAACACAGGAAACATAGGCCGCTTTCGAGTTTCTTGCTCACAGAGCTTTCATGTTCACTAACTGACATAGTTCTAGAGGGCTATCGTAGATTCTGATATTATGATCAGAAAAAGGTGACGAACAATTTACTGCGGATGTGCGTCTGACCGACGTTGGAGCTAGCAAAGCTCGTAGTACGTAAAAACAATCCAGAGCTCCTATTAATTCGCTCATACTTCGATAAAAAATTTCATGTAAGCAACTTAACATCTTAACTTGAACATTTTTTCCGCAACTGTTCCAGAAGTGGTTTCTGTCCCGTTGCTATGCCTTTAGATTTAAGCAATCCATTTTTATTTCGACGCCTGTCCATCGGTAGCAACCCCTTTTGCTTATTATTCTTGTGGATCCATTTTAAGATCAAAGATAACAGTCTGGCGTTTGCGAAGCAAGTGCAGATATTACAAGTGAAGGAGTATGGTCGCTGAATTAAACCCTCTTTGTTATTCTGTATAAGCTCTCTGGCGGGTAATACGAATGTAGTGTGTAATAGTTTGATCAAGGCAGCATGCAAAAGCAAAATCTCTATTTGGAGTTAAATTCAGTTTGTGATGCAGCTGGGTCAGCCACGTGGGCCTTTGGCAACGCACATGTGGTCGCTTCTGTGTACGGTCCGTTAGAGGCTACCATGTCAAACGAACTCACGCATCGCTCTGCCATCGATTTTAATATTGTGCCTGTCTCCGGCATGCATTCTCCCTCTGAAAGTGAAATGGAGACTTTCCTCGTGCAGTTCGCTGAACGTCTTATTGAAACTAAGGACTTTCCACGTTGCCAAGTATGTAATCTGTAACTTGTATTTTTGGCCAATTTCCCAGGTATGCTATATGTAGGTGGGGGGTTTTGGCGCCGATTTATCAGCAACGTGCAGTTGGGTAGTATTTGGTAGTCTAGTTGACTGAGCCTGCAGCCCTCGTTTGAGTAAGTGAGCCATGTTGACCACTGCGTGGTTGCCTGTTAAATTTCGCCTACGCTTGAGATGGCCTGTTAGACAGTCGCCCTTCAGGTGCATTTACGCAGTTTGCAACTGCAGTTATTTCACAGCCTACTCGACCCGAGATGGTCGCAATTCTGACCGCGCGTGGCTCTTGGAGATACTTCTGCTGTCTACGCGCTTAAGTAAAATGCAAGTGCTCACATTTTCAGGGAAACAGTATCAAGGCTTCCTTGTGTAAAATTGCATCCGTATCCTACCAGCTACTGCTGATCCATGCCAGTGTCCCTTAGACACAATCTATATATCATCCTGTTCACATGAGTTTCGTCAATGGCCTCACTGCGCCGCCTGTCGGTTGAGAT